GTTTTTATTAAAGCATTGTTAAATTAAAATAATAAGAAAAAATGACTATTTATTTAAAACACTACATTTATTTACGTTCTTCTTACCTCAGGCACCTCTGAATACTCCAGTGACAGAGGATGTTTTCAACATTTTGACAAAAAAACACAGAATCCCTGTCCCCATATTACCAGGTAAAAGCCACTTTATTCTTTCTCAATAAAAAGGATTTATTCTTTCTGTATCTTACAATCATTGTGCGACAGAAAAATGAACTTTATTTATATTTATGTGGCGTTAGGGCGGTAATTTGTTACTATTATTGTTTTGTTTATTGTAGAACAAAAAGCCTCAGGCAGGTAGAAAAGTATGCTGTTAACAAAAAATAATGATTCTGTTTTCAGTGCGAGTTCTATACTTATTCTGAGAAGTTTTATATTGTTTACCAAAGATTTCTTGTCAAAAATGAATAATTCTTCAGTGGGACATTAAAAAAATATATATTTTGACTGTAGTGTCGCTGACATTAAAGTTAGTTTATTATCACACTCCAAGTCCCTTGTCACAAAGAGAATATTTCCCTTTTTTGGTTTGGTATTTGTTCCGAGAACATCCAGTCTCAAGGGTTTGGAACAAGTGGTCAGTTTTMTTGATAAAACACAAGAATATTCCTGTGTGAGCTGACCACAGCGATATGATTTGTTTTGCTGTCTGTAGGCCTGCCCATGAGGAATCATGGTAACTACATTGTCAGGCTGGGAAACTTTGTGCGTTGGCTGGGGGAGCAGGCRGAGGAGCTCGGAGTGGAACTTTATCCTGGTTATGCTGCTGCTGAGGTGAGACATTTTGATTTTATCACTAAAAAATAAAGCACCTGAGTTTCARTCGTGGCCTGAAAGAAAGCCTCAGAGAATGCTCTCTGTTATTACTTTAGGGGAGTAAACTTTTTTTTTTTATCAAGTAAACAAACAATTACATTAGTGTTTATTCCAAGTTTACCATTTAAATAAGAGAGACTTACTCTAAATGATGGAAGGGGGCCACACTTTTACCAGAGGGTCACATAACGCACATGTAGTAAAACTGCCATTTTTAAACTGTTCGTCAATCCATCCATTMTCTTCTTCTTATTTGGGGTCGAGTCGCTGGGGCAGCAGCCTAAGCAGAGAGACCCAGACTTCCCTCTCCTCAGKCACTTGGGCCAACACGTCCGGGGGAATTCCAAGGCGTTCCCAGYCCAGCTGAGAAACTTAAGGCTGGATTATACTTTGTGTAACACGTCTTGTTCCCATCTTTTGCATTGCCCCCAGTCAGAACTGTGAGATACAGACTTTGRGGCTTGGAGTGTGTGATTGGTTTGAACTTCGTGGGTGTGTTTGTTCATGAGGAACACCGCAGCGCTCCAGCAGCTCTAAAACTTTGATCAGCTCTGCCTTCTGCAGCTTATTTTGTTTAAAATTATTATTTTGCTGAAGCTGGTTGCTAAAAGAGGTAGAAAAGCAGCTGATTTGATCCTAGTGAACGTGAGCGCACAGCTGATTTTCAGATTATCACGTATTTTTTCTATCACCACTGTTTAAAAAAATGTTTTCCTTCGCGGACTCTTATTCACCCAACACGACACTGATCGAGTGATTAAAAAAATAAAAAACACAATATCCAGCCATCTTTATTGCTGTTTATGTTCTTATATGAGCTGTGGGGGAGCAGAGGGAGGATCTATGATAATTTATAGCCCGCCGCATCTTCAGCTCGTTTATACTCGATCAGGAAAAAGACGTCCAAAATTACACAATCTCCAACCCGCTGTCTCATATCTTACTGAAGTGTAATCCAAGCTTTGGTCCCTCCAGCGTGTCCTGGGTCTTCCTCTGGGCCTCCTCCCNGTTTCATTAAAGAAGAACCCGTCCAGAGGACCTYTACAATTTTTTTTCCTTATAAAAAGAATAAGTTTTAACCTTTTGCACAGTAGTACTGTTATAAGAAATATACGTAAGAACACTGTAGCACAGTACATTTATACTAAAAACTTCCTGACTGCAAGCTAATTACGCCATAAATCAAAACATTCCCGACTTCACCGATTTCTAGACGTGGCTGTGAAGTATCCTAACCCGCGCATGCGCAGTACACATCAGTGTTGTAAAACGTTAGCAGCCTGACTTCAAGCTAACCCGTCTGTGTTTTGGAGGCGTATCTTGTGAAATATCTACGGTCAGCACTTGTTTACATTGTGGGTGAGGTTCMCAATCTTTGAACCGGTAGCGAAACCAGTGCAGAACAGCTTTTCTTTGGCCATCTTTAACCGAGAAAGCGCTGTACTCCGAATGAGTTAGCAGTAGCGGACAGAGGATGTTTCCAGCCAGCAGATACTCGTGTAAAGGTGAGACGGCTAACTCGTTAGCTGACACATTAGCGCTCAGTCAGTCCTAAAGATGCTTGACCACTACTTGTATTACCTAACAGTGTGGACTTCAAGGCWTACTTTGATATTCTAGAAGACTTAAAGTGTTTTGTTTTTCCCTTCTCCTGCAATGTTTGCAAACAACCCGTGTAGCAATAGCATGCTAACTYCTAGCCTAGCTTAATGTAGGTGAAAGTTGAATCAGTCATGTATGACCGGTTGTATTTGATTTAACCTAATTATTAATCAAACTATGTTTTTTATGAAATACCGTAATATTCTATATACATTTTGATTGTTACTAAGCTTATTCAACGTTTTTAACATTAAAAAAACTTTTAAGGGATAAATTAAGCTGTTTTATTGTTTTTATGCCCCCTTTTGRCACTTTTGTTGCTTTCCTTAACCTGATCAGCCCTGCATGTTTCTTGTAGCCACTGAGATTTTGTAACCTACGCTTTTAAACCTAATTTTGCCAAGCTCTACTCATTTAAAAGATAGATCCTGATAGAATTGGTCCTTAATGGGTTCTGTTTTCTGTCTTGCAGCGCACAGATGTATCAGGACGTTGGCAACATTACAGAAAGAGCTTGCTGCCCCTCAGTTGTACACATATGTCTGCAGGAGGACGTGCGCTTCGGTGTCGACACCTCGCATCACCACACACTACACCATCCATCCTCGAGACAAAGATCCAAGATGGGAAGGTAAAACAGATGGTATTATTTAACCCTATGGATTAGGAATGGGAAGTCACTTAAGCTCATATGAGTCATAGTACAGGTCTCTAGACTAACRTTTTGCACTGGTTGCACCCAACATGTTTCCTTAGGTGCACCAATACAAAAGTTAAATGCACCCAAATTTGGTTCACTTTTTTAAAACCATTGTCCATTAAGGCAATGTTAACTCACAAATAATTTGTTAAAGTGGCAATATCATGTAAAATCAACTTTTTAGATTTTTATATCATGTTATAATGTTATACTCTCATAAAAAAACATGCCCAAAGCCTTGCTCTGACTCATTCATGCATGTTTGAGAAATCCTGCAGCGTTTTTAGGAAGCTGAGGAGCAAAACGACAGGTGGGGACCAGAAACGCCCCTGGGACGTGTCTTTAAGATAAACTTCCTCATGACGGGGCACACCTCCCCACCCCCCACCCCACACACGACTCCTGCAGGCTCTCGGC